GTTGTGTTATCTCCTTGGGAAGATGAGATCCTTTTATTTTTATTATTATTATAATATTATTTTGTTTTGTTTGCCAGGCTGATCAACACGGTGGCGCATCATGTCCTGAAGGCAGCACACCCCTCGGGACTATCTGCGCACAAAGGCTTCTTCGGTTGCAGGTATGGGTTTTCGAAAATCCAGTGATCTTTTTGGCCTTTTCGTTTTTTCCATGTTGATTTCAAATGTCGGTTTGTCACCGCCCCCCTTCCCCCCCCCATAATTACTGGGCGTTCTATTTGGGTGAAGACGGTAGTTGCCACCACCACCTATCCTGCTCTGCCTTTGCGTCCGCTGGTCGTCTGTCGTTTCCTTTTGAGGACATCTGCCATCCTTCCAGTGAAACCTTTTCAGGACATCTGACATCCGCCTATCCTGCTCTGCCCTTCCGTCCAAGGGTCGTCTGCCGTTGCCACCACCGCCTATTCTGCTCCGTGTCGGTTTACATCTTCTGGTCTGTGTGCGGTCCTCAGATCCCGCCCTTCAGCCTTGCCCCACTAAACTGCGATCCATCTCTACCGTCTTCCGCTGAATAGAACGAATGGTCATTCGCCCAAAATACAGCCGTGAAGAATGTACGCACTATTCGGAGGAAGACGGTAGGCTGACACCGAACCTGACCAACCCCGTTTTTACTCCCTTTCCTCTCCCCCAACCAACAACACTGGCAAACGAAAACAAAAAGAAGCCCGGATCTGGTCTGCTTTCTGTGGGTGCCCACAGGCAGGTGAAAACACGAACAAAGTATTTCCCTGAGTGTTTGGCAACTTTTTGCATTCCCGCAATTTCCCGGGTTAACCCGGCGGGAGACACCTCGGGAGAGTCACCCAGCCGCTGACTGGAAGTCATCTAGAACATTTATGATTACCCCGCGATCTGCTTGCTGACTCAATGCTGAGTGCAGCACACACACAAAACAGAACTTCGGTGGTATTCAAGTAGATGAAGGAATGTCTCCTCGCGGTATATGCTGGGGGCTAAAAGGGTTGTTTTTTTTTTTTGTTTTTTTGTTTTTTTTTTGGTGGCTAAAAGGTTAAACCCCCCCAAGCCTTGTGATTAGATCTTTTCATGCAACTGCGCAAGCATGACACACATTAAAAAACAAGGAAAAAAAGGGGAGGGAGATCTTTTCATGCCAGAGCTGGCAGTCTTCTCAGCCAGGGGCTGGAATGCCATTGTGACACAGACTATTCACAGACGCTACAGAGCGATGAAGGAGCCAGCGGCACCCGGCACGACCAAGAGGGAGCCTATAGCGGAAAGCAGAATCACACCGGTTCTGGTAGGATCGTGGCAAAGCCGCACCCGACGCTGAACCCAACGATCAGCTCCTGGTAGCAGACGTGCTCTTCCGCGGTAGCCGCTGCTACTGCGGTTGTGGCTCTGTCCACCATGCCGCGGTTGCACCTCCTACCAGGCGGCACAATCTTGTAGCAGGCAGCGAGACGATACTCTACACTCTTTGGAATATGCACACTCTTCGGAATCTGCGCGCACTCGAGAGTCGGTCGTGAAGCTTCAGCGTCTTCCAAAATACCCAAAGCATCCGCCCGTCTTGTAATAATCGCCCGCGTACTCTGCTTCTGTTCTCTTGGTACGGATGGAGATCCTGACGTCTGCACGTACTCCGGTTAAAACGACTCGATAGAATCCGTAGGTGCGCAGGCGGAGAGACGTGAGAAGTGTGGAAGATAGGGTGATACAGAAATTCAGCCCTTCCGAAATATGAAACAAGGAACATGTCATTGATAACTCGTGCACAGTAACTTCAATACGTCGGTAAACAGTTAGTTAATAGTTACCCGATGTATAACACAATAACGCGCGCACAGTAACTTTGATACGTCGGTAAACAGTTAGTTACGCGATGTGTAACACGATAACTCGTGCACAGTAACTTTGATATGTCGGTAAACAGTTAGTTAATAGTTACCCAATGTGTAACACGATAACTCGCGCACAGTAACTTCGATACGTCGGTAAATAGTTAGTTACCCAATGTGTAGTAAACCATAAGTAGTAGCAAAATTAGCAAATAGGGAAATGTGAGACAACGACATGGTAACTCGTGTGCAGTAATAAATTTTGACAAGCTGGTAACCAATTACCCCAATGTGGGGTAAATCATAAGAGGCACTTGGCCATCGGGGGCAAGGAAGAAGTCTATAGACGCAATGTACTTCAACTTAGCGGATGAATATCAGGAAGGAGGCTATGGTGAGGGGGAGGGAGAAGAGAGAAAGACTTGAACAGAGAAGAGAGAAAGACTTGAACACTGTTCTTGAGGCGGTTTCTTGGTTGCCGACTCCTCATTTGATGACGAAGCACGAATTCTATCTCACTAGTATTAATTTATTATTATTATGATCCTAATTTGTGGAAGGCGTTGAGGAGAAAGGACCAGAGTTGGGTTTACTGTTTACTACTGCTCTACTCTGTGTGCGTATCACAAACCATTTAAGTTGATTGGCTGATGTGAGCAGTTAAAAATTGTCTGGACAGGTATATGTATGGGAGTGTGACCTGTCTCTTATACACATCTAGATGTGTATAAGAGACAGACACCGCACAGCGAACACATCAACCTGCAAAGAACCACATGCGAATCAAGCGGGACACAGGCAGCGGGGCAGCGGCGGAGCGCAGACGAGGACGTCTACACATCCAACACGGAGCAACGTACACACATCACGATTGAACCCCGCAGACTGTTGGTTCCCACCACCCACTGAGCCAGGGAGTAACTCCGACGAGCATCCGTCATCACCTACAGGCAACACAGACATCCCGAACTGAGCAATAAGCACTCCAAACGAGGAACCACCGACTGTTTGGCACTACTTAAGGGTGCTCAGTTGGGTAACGAAAAATACTTAGAAAGAAGATCAGGGGGAGAACAGACAACAACAGGAAAACAAAAAAAATCAGGGGGAGAACAGACAACAACAAGAAAACAAACAAACATAAAACTGATCATATGTGTGTGTGTGTGTGTGTGTGTGTGTGTGTGTGTGTGTGTTTGTGTGTGTGTTTTGGGTGTGTGCACGTTACGCATGCCATACCACGTTTAAACAGTGGATGGTTGAGCTCCGGCATTGGCTTGGCCGGCATGCTGAGGAATCCTGGCAGGAGGCGGATGCTCTTCGTCGTGATGCGGAGGTCTCTCTCGGAGAATAGAGGGCTCTGGGGCTTACTTCAATATGTGGTTCATGGACGCTTCCAACGCTCTGAACAGCTCTTCCCTTTAGGCAATGGATGGTTCATAAGGCCAATATGACACGCCGTTTCAGAGGACTGGGGTGTTATCAGTAATCAGTTGCTAAGGCTAATCATGCTTAATCGAATAATTTAATAATTACGTATAATTAAAAAACTCCCTATAGGTTCTTAAAAGATGCTGTATGGCTCCGAAAGAAATCAAGAGGGGTGTCCTGGGGATTCTCAACGTTCGGAGACTACCTATAGGCTAGGAGGAAGGATTGGCCATGGATCTGCCGCGATCCGAGACAGGCGGCATCTTTTATAAAAAATACAAAAATGTCCTTATATATAGTCAAACAGAGCTGCCTACGGTAAACCGTAGGCAGAGAGGGAGAAGAGGACAACAAACGAGGGGCTGTGGCAAACTGTTTCGTCAGAGTTTCACCGACTCATCAGGAGGCTGAACCCTATATATATGTATCTCCATGTATATATATATATATATAAATATATATATATATATACACATATACCCCATCCTTACAATGTGTGTCCTTTCTGTCGTCAAGGACAGCCTCATTCTTGAGTTTTTCCCTGTGTTTAACACCTTCCCCTTCACTTTGCCTCTCTCACAGCGTGCAAGTGGGCTGTTATGGCATACGGGGATGGGGGCAGCTCACACTCAACTTCATCAACGTGGCGAGCCTTGCACGTGAGAGGCACAGTGGAGGTGGAGTTCAAAGAAGAATGAGAAATTTAATGGTTTCAATCTGCCCTTGTTTTTTCTTTTCCTTTTTCTTTTTATTTTTGCATGTTATCACTGTGCCCGTTTTTTGCTTTTATTCTTTGTGCCGCAAAGTGCGCTCTTTTAGTTCGTAGTTATGTGACAATATATTCTCCGATGTTGCTAGCCCTCTGCTCTTGCAGATTGAGCGGCGAGCATCGG